AAAAATTTTAAGCTATCCAGTTCACTGCAGCTTTGAATAATTTTTTATGTTTTTGTTATGTTGACTACTTTGTCATTAAGCATGGAGCTTCACTCGCAAAATTCGAATTCACATTTTCGTAACAAGCTTTTCAGGGGGTCTACTCTGTATTGCGATTCGAAACTCAATACGATTCGGAAGGCGACACGGACTAAATAATGCACATTCATAGTACCAAGTATTCGAATCCGAATTTATGGGTGTACTGTAAGCTCACTGTCCGATTGGTATTCACGCAGTAAGATTAAACGATTAGCTACACAACGATGAGCTTTACAATGACATGGACATAGCGCAGCGAATGAAAATGCAGCGGCTCCGGTGGCTTGGCCATGTCGTTCGAATGGACACCGACGCTGCAGCTCGAAAAGCTATTAAACTCGGAACCCGCTGCTGTTACCAGAGGAAGAGGGAGGCGCCAACTACGATGGGAAGAACAAGTGAAGAAGGACTTGGCTTCTTTTGAATTTCCAATTGGTGTCAGTCGGCACAAAAGAGAAACGACTGGCGTGTTTTGTTGAATTCGGCCATAAACGCTTAGGCGGTTACAGCGCAAAATAAGAAGAGCCTTGAGATTTCAATTTTCGGGCATGAACCAAATTGAGCCTAACAGTTGGTAAATGTTCTATATCACCCTTTACCTGTTGGCTTTGAAACCAACGGTAATCCGTTTGCTCCAAGAACGTTGCTTTTAATCCGCATTATTTTTGGCCGTCTCACCTCATCTTGATGGAATCTTCGCGCCGCTTTCCTGCCTACCAGCATTTCAAGCTCTTCGCACCCACTCCTTTCCGTTTCCGTTTCGCACTTTTTTCCCAGTACCTCTCAATTCTCGCGGCTTTTCGACGTCGAACTTCAGTCGCACTGCCTGATGCACTTTCTTTATTGCGCAAAGGCGCCGACCGACCTTAGCTGTAACATGGTCTATGTGGCCTACTCAAATCGTACGCTCGGCGAGAACTGACGACTCCAGGGCCCCAGTCAAAGGCTACCAGGTCCTGAGTTGGTGGAGGCTCAAATGGTAGAAGAGTCTACGGCTTTCGAAAGTCATACCAAAAACTTTAAAATGGTACCACGGGGAACAGATGTCCACGTAGTGTGTTCGCCGGTCAGATAAACGAGACTATTTGGATGAACAAGGCTCACAAGACATGTACTTCCACCGCTGGACTTGTAAAACGGAGAGAAAGATGAATGTAAGTAGGAAAATTGGTGAAACGGAGAGTGGGTGGGGAAATCGTGTGAATGAGAAGAAGTTTTTCAACTATGTTAGCTAAGCGAGTTGTGCATGTTGAGCGAATCGGTCCAGTCTGGCTGGTTGAGCTGGTCTGACTGGTGAGCACTATTCCAGTCTGTTCATTCTGCTGCCCTTCGGGGAGTATCGTGGTGGCTGTGGTTTACCACTTAAATGCAGGTAGAACCAGCAATGGTTCAATGTGGAGTTGCATTGCAACCGGATGTCGTGATCCAAAGAACGTCAGAGGTATAGGTATGCCTCGGCCCTACTAAGGTGGTAAGTGTGTCTACCACACACTGCCAATTGGTACTGAAGAGCTGGCATTTCAGGTCAGTAATTAAGGCAAAAATTAATCCAAGCGGGCACCATGATGCTAAGCCTTGCTGGCAGGTAAGCCCTACACGCAGCTCGGCGAGAACGCTTGAGGCATATTTTCTGTCTATAACAACGTGGTATTGGTTCTTTGATCTGGGGATACCTAAGTGACTTATGGACATTTCGATAGACCAGATACTACGAACTATCATGTTCGGTGACGCGGCTAAGTCGGTTACTGTCTCTCCGTTTTCGGAGGCGTTATCATGAAGTCTGAATTTTCCAACTGTTGAACCAAATATGCCTTCTTTGCCCACCATGAGATAATGCGTCTGGGTACTTCGTTTGCAATAGGCACCGTCCTTTCGAAACCACATATTGCTCAAGTCTATGTCATCTAATTTAGACCATAAATTCACCGCAATAGCATTACAGTCTTCATAACAAACTTTGTTCCAGAACAGCAATATTTTCGGCCGAGAGCTCTCTACGAAGACGCGCGGTTGTTGTCTCGTTTTGTACCGCTTGTGTTGACCGAATGTGCGAAATACTCTTCTTGTAGAATGTCCATTTTCATTAAACGTTTGGATCACTTTTACGCGTTTTTCAACTGAGTATCGCACCATGACTAAATTTGCCAAAGCCTGTATTAAAAATTGTCTAAAAAACATTAAACAAACATTAAAATACCACAAATAATTATATCACTGCATCACTGCATGTTGCAAATTTTTTCTGGACATGCCCCGTTCATCGCATTTTCTATATTGCGGTGATGTTAGCATAGTATTTATTTATGACCTCCAGCAGTTCGATAGACGCGCCTTCCCTTAAGAAGCGTGCAGACATTCCAGGTGAATTTGCGTAAAACATAGTCTTTATTCCAAGGTTACAGTTTTTTTGAAAATACAAATTTTTTTTTTTAGAATCTACAGCTTTTTGAAAAAACAAATGTGGCAATACTAGCGAGCTTAGACGAGAGCTGAACTTTACAGCTACCTGATAAGCGGTGAGAGAAAAAACACATCATATGAACATGTTTTATACATACGGTGACCATCCGGCCTTTATTTTAAAGGACAGTCCTTTATTTTAACCCCCTGTCCTTTATAATTTTTTTCAAAATATAGGACGCCTTTTGTCCTTTATTTCTTAAACTGTCCTTTAAATCAGCTCTGCATTTTTCAGAGGTAAATTCTTAAACACAGAATATGAAAAATAAAAATGTCCGTTATAAAATATAATAAAAACCTTCGCCATTTTGTTTCGCACCCCACTCAAGGGTTTCTATTTAATCATTTAATCGGTAATCTTTGTACAATCTATAAAGCACAGGGAAAGTTGTGCCCAGGATCGTGTTGCACGCTGAGTTTCCCGCTCCACTTAAAGAAGATAAATCCCCTGCTGCACAGTGGTTCAAAACCGGCATTTAGTGTTCGTAATTCACTGGAGCCTTCATTTTTCACTTAATTTGATTACTTTTTATTTTTTTTTATGATAGCCTACAATATTTGCCAGAGACCTGTTGAGCCTGATTTTTGAATTCTTATTTGATTATATAACATTTTTTTTCTACAAAATCCAGAAAATGTAGCAATTTTGAAGAAAATGTATTCTCCTGTTCCAGTTAATAAATGGTTCATAACAAAAACTAGTTGAAAACAATTGTATGGTTCTCCCAAAACAAAAAAATTACACAAAAAAAAATTTAAATGTTATAACAAAATTTTTACCAAAATAAATATATATTTTTTTTGTTTTTAGTAAATAAGTGGTTGCAAAATAAAAGCACCGGTGAATTATGAACATTAAATTTCAATTTTCAACCACTGTGTGCTGGCTTCGTGGGGCAGTATGAATTATGGTAAACGCGTTTTAGTAGCAAAGGATGGCGAAGTTCTTGAAAAGGTTTGGCTTAATTTTTCCCTACAGCAGGGAAACTTGTACAATTAAATAATATAATTAACTGGTAAATATTTGATTTAAATTAATATATGGGTAAGGTACTTTTATCATACAATTTGTATGTATGTATTCCCAAATCATTTTGAAAAAAAAAGTGTCCTGTATTTTACGTTGGTTAATATGGTCACCGTAGTTATACAAGCAAACAAACTAAGAGCGTAGCTGAACTGAGCGTACGCGCTTATAAGCAGTGTTGCCGTTCAGCCCTTTGGTGGCAAGATTTAGCTACCACATACTTTTTTTGGCCACATAAATTTAAAATTGCCCCTAGCCCTTTTTTTAGCCCTTTGGAGAATTTATTCATACTTGGCATGAAAAAGTTGTACATGCTTAACTTGATCTAATTTTTTTTTTCATTTATGTAAGAGATGAATTTTTAAACTAAGGAAGACTGATATTTATATATATTGTATGTTCCTTACGTTTTTATACATACATACTGTAAAAGTGTTAGGGCTGTTAACTTATTTATTAACGATTTAACTATAGTTTAAAATAGATAAGTTAAGTTAAGTTATTGTTAAATGGCCCATCAAGTCGATTGACCGTGTATGTTCTTGTGGTGTGATTGTACCAGCTGCTGGTGCGACTTCAAAAATTATTTGAAAATTTTATGATTGTAGCAGCATGCTGGTGTCGTGAGTGGTGCAATTAGCTCAATTTTCTAAGTAAAAAGTATTGTGGCGGAAATTTCTTCACTAAATGAGTCAAAGCCGTGTTTGTGGAAGATTAAGTTCACGATATTGCCGTAGTGAATTAAAAAAAAAAAAACAATGTTTAACAAAATGGTAGAAAAATTATGAAATTTCGGCTGTAATCATTTCGATCTTTCCTGGACTTCATTAATAAAGAAATAAATATTGTACCAGCATGCTGGTAAGTTATATGCTTCGAGCCTGATATAACAATCACTTGATGGAGCCAGCAAGCAGGTGTCGTATATTTCCTATTTTATACAAAAAGGTTTTAGGTATACCATTAAGCTGAAGGTACATCATTTTATTTGCTGCGGCGTTGCGTTGATCCGTTGATGCGTTGACGACGTTGAAAAATTTGCTGTTACACACCTTGCGTTGTGCCGCTCATTGTTTTGTAAACATAAAACAGCTGATAAGCATATCCACAAATGTAATTTCAAATGTCAACGCATGAACGCAACAGAAAAGTAGCGAGTTGGTTTACGTACGACGGCAACTGCGTTAACGCATTCGTAACGGCGTCGTCTGTAACAGCTGTCATACAAACGCACGTGTTCAATTTTATTTGACATTGACGGCGTGACGCATTTGCCGGCGAACGCATGTTCTGTACCTTCGCTTTTACCTATTGAAAATGTTTACGTGTATACTTATATATGTATATGTAAGTAAAAATTTAGCTACCATTTTTAGCCACAACGACTTTTTTTAGCTCTTTTTTAGCCCTTTTTTTAAAGGGATTTGGCTACCACTAAAAATGATTCGCGGCAACACTGCTTATAAGTTCGGTGTATGCTTAATTTTTTCCTTCAGCTGAAGTACTGAGTCAGCAGACACTCAGGCAGTCTTAGTCAAACAATGGATTTGGAAAGACTTATTAGAGAAATTTATAACAATCCACCTTTGTGGGATAAACAAGATAGAAATTTCACGAATAGAGTCGTAAAGGAGGCAATCTGGGACACAATTGTGATTGATATGCATTCAACAAGTAAGTAAATATATGGTTATAAATGTAAGAGAACGAGGTTGACTGTTCACAAGTGCATACATGCACACGCAGGTACAAGCAGGCTCATACGTGACTGAACAAGTTTCTATTGTAATAGAATTTTGCAAAAAGTGCTTTAGACGATTTGAAAACTAAAAGTTAGGTATTGTATCAATGTACTGCTTCAAAGATATTTCAAATATACATATTTTAAAATTGCATTTTTTTCCATTACGATTCTAGAGGAAAAATGCAGAAGGAAATGGAAATATTTAAAAGATGAATTCAGAAAGGTTTCGCGTAAAATGCCACAATTGGCGTCAAGTGCTGCTGCGCCCTATACATATTTTTCAAAGCAAAAATATTTTGAGATGATTTCGTTTTTAAGGGATGGTGTTGCCTCGTTTGGGGAGGTAAGCAATCAAAGCATCGTTGATAATATCGCCCTCAAGGACGAAAGCAGTATGAGTAAAGAAGAAGATTGTGACGACCTACACTTTTTCAAAAGCCTTTTGCCATATGTGAAAGAGGTGGCGGCGAGTAATAAATTGAAAATGAGAGGAGATATACAAAATATTGTACTACAGTATTATGAACCCGAACAAGCTACGAAAAAATGATACATAATTACTCAGTTTATTCTTGTACATAGATTATTTTAACTTAATTTACATAATGAAATATAATAGTACATAATAAAAATATGTGAACTCACGTACATTTGAATAAATATTTAGAAAGACTGCTAAAAAATGCAGTTCATAAGCAGGGTTTAAAAATTAATGGGAAACGAATTTTTTCCTACTTGACCCCGAACCTGACGAGATGGGGCCTAACAGACCTCGGATTCGCATTCAGGGTGTCGAATAACATAGGGATACAGAGGTTTGGTTCAATATGCAGGAACTTTTTTTTTGTAAACCTGTGTAATTTTTAAGTTTGAAAAATCTAGTTTTTCCTACTGTATTTTTAGTCAACATAGTCAAAGAGTCGCATAGAAGTTCGTTAACAAAAAAATTATATTATCTACAAGATGTTGTTGTAACATCATAAGTACAAATTCACAAAGGATTTTTTTAGGAATAATGCTGGTGTGAAGGTCCTTGGGCAGATATTATTTTGGGTCGTTCCGGTTACGTAGATCCGACTGTAGTGGGAACGATTATGTACAAGTATGTATTTACATACGTATGCTTCTTATGCAATTTCTATGCTTCATCTTAATCTTATTTTTCTCATTTTCAGTAATAATAAAATTTAGTGCTTTTTATTTTCAATTGGATTTATTCCACCACAGAAAAACGATTGCTTGCAGAAAGGGTCAAACGGTTTATCAAAAACAATAGAAAGCAATTTTTTTTTCGAACAAAATCTAGTAGTTAGGAGTATTTACGTATATATTATTTTCATGAATTAAAAATATTTTCCTTTTTTTAATTATAATTTTTTTCGGTCTACACTTATGTACATACATATGTACGTATGGTATCCGAAAAAGTATTGAATTTCTAGATTTTATCCTCTTTAGTATGTATTTCAGAAATATTTTTTTTGAAAATCGATGGCAAGATATTGTCCATTTTCTTATGCGCACGTACATACACACAAACATAAATATATACATACATACAAAAGTAAAAAAATAAAAAATAAAACTGTTTTTCATCATTATGCGATACTGAAATCTAGGCTAGGGCGCTCATTTATGTTATCAGCATAAATTTATAATTCGACAGAGCTACAGTTGCGCTAAGAAGCCATGGTCAAAGCAATTTTGGTAAGTGCATGTATGCATTAAAGTATATAGTTCCATAAAAAAAGTTGAAAAAAAATAATTAAATCACGATAAAGCAGAGCGCTGCGTTGGTGTATTGTATGCACATAAAATAATTCGATAAATATTTTGAAATATTTGTGTTTGGACATTGTGGCAAATACATTAGCATATTTTTAACAAGATGACATAAAAAATACCTGATTAAGTATTTAAATTTGAGCAGATGAAACACTTTTATTATGCGGTTTTTGGTATTTTCTTTTATAATTTATTTTTTTTTCTTTAATACACCTGCAGCAGCAAAGAAACAATTTTAAGCGCACGCAGGCATAAAAAACGCCGCAGGTGACATGAATAACGAATAATAATAAAAGATGGCATACAACAATAAAATTTAAAATTGCTAATTTAAGATGCTACACTAAAACGAAATTAAATGATTTCAAATGTAGCTACGTATGTATATTAGGGTGGTCCTGAAAAAAATCAAATGAACGATTTTTTCAGTCTCACCCCCCCTAAATCGGTAATACCACGGTCGCAGATATCACATGTAAATTTTGGTCCCGATTGGAGTCGGTTAAGATTGGTCTGGATAAGGTAATCTGAACTTTGCGCTCTGTGCGACACGCCTTGACCGTCTTCAATCGAGACCAAAATGTATATGTGATATCTTCGACTATGGTAAATAGTATCGATTTTGGGTATTAGATGAAAAAAATAATAATTTTAATTTTTTTTTTTCATAGAGGAATCGGAATTTTGCCCTCTGTGCGACACGCCTTAGAAGTCTTCAATCGCGACCAAAATTTATATATGTTATATCTTCGACTATAGTAGCATCGATGTAGGAGTTAAGGTTTAGGAAATCTGAAGTAAAAATGTGCTTCCTACATTTGAGGACCACCCTAATGCCCACACTATGTATGTACTGCTTTACTTAAAGTATAGCTCCAAGTAAATAAAATTAACATAACCATCAACAAAAATAAACCGAAAATCATAAAACTTTAAATGGTCAAGTTAAAAATATGTAATAAAAAAACGAGTTTTCTTTAGTCGGTGAATATAGAAAGCATTATAAAATGTTGAAATAAATATAAAATGTATAAACTGTTTGAATACTAAAAAAGATGTTTAAGAATTTGAAAAAAAAAAGAAAAGCTCTTAAAAAATTACAAATCAGTAATAAAAAAATAATGCACCGAATGTGGGACAGCCCGATGACTTAGACAACCAAACGATAGGCTCTGCAGGTATTTAGAACTCCCCAAAAAATTCTCTGCAACCATTTTTTATTTTATGCACCGGAAGCCAGAGCAGAGATAAATGTATGTAAGTAGATAGTACCATCTATGGCGTACAATTCTGCTTGGAAGATAATTGAAAGTGTAGGATATTAGCTTTAGACATATATTTAATTACTCCAGAGCTAGTCTTAGAACAGTGCACCACTACGTTAAATCCTGCGCCAGAATTTGGCTCTCATTAGGTCGGTTATATTAGGACGATTAATAGGGCTGTTCAGGATCTTGTGCATATGCGCTTGCATTTGCATATTAATTGCATCTGTAAATGCACAACAATAAAATGCACGCGGTTGCCATGGCAGCAAGCATAAAATTTTCAAATGCAATTCCAACTGCAAATCCAAGACCATTTCCACAACATCTTAAACAGCCCTAATGTTTAATAGTTTTCCAAGTTGAAAGTAAGTAATGAGTATTCTGGTTGAATAACTTATTAAGAAATACTTATGTATGTATACATCCTTACATTCATACTTCAATATACAAAAGTAAATTTCTCCTACTAACAACATTTGGAAACAATTTGCGACTTCCGCTACAGCAGTCAATTTTTTGCAAATTTTTTTTTTTAATTTTGAGCGAAATTTTTAAACATTTTTCTGTCTTATTCTAAAATTTTATTTTAATTTTTCAACTAAGTAAATTCCTATTCATGGACATCATCCAAATAGTAATTTTTGGCTATTTTCTTCTTTTTTCTACATTTTTTCACCATTACTCACTAAACTGACGTGTCTCCAAACCTCTACCCTAAGCACGTAGACAAGAAAAAAAAAATAAAAACTTTTACCTTAAAATAATTGGAGCTATTTATCTTTTAGCGTGGAAAAAAGTTAAGTGTTCGAACGCAAGGTTGAAAGAAAGCTTGCGTATGTTGAAAATAATCCTAGGCATTTCGATGGATTCACAACATTCACGTATGTATGTAAGTACATACATACCTAAATATTTCAGTTTAAGTTTTGGAAACATTTTCAGCAGCTGTTGACAATAATTTAATTTTTTTCCTGATCATCCACTTGCGTTAGTTTTTTATTGTATTGTTGTCTATTTTCCTACATACGAAGTACACCTATAGTTGTTGTCGTTTTTTATTTTATGATCTTGGCAGAAATACCAATTGTTGAAACATTTTCATTTTATTTAAATTTAAAATACATTTGTATGTACTTACATACATGGGTACATTTCTTGGCTTTTAGAAACTAAATAGCTATGCGGCTACAAGGAAAGAAGGCGAAACTGTTCTGTTTCACTATCTTTCATTACGCTAGTGATACTGTAATTTTTTAATTATCTTTTAATAAAATGTATTTTGTTTTTTCTTCGCTTACTAACTTATTAATATATATATGTGTCATACTTACGTAGTCGATTTTGCACTCAACGTAGTAAGAGAGGTTAGACCGGCGGCACAGTTCAATGGGTTTATTACACATCCATATATATGTATTTATATATATGTATATATATATATCTATGTATAGGTATACGAAGTAGATACCTGTGCGCTAAAAGGTGTCGCGTTATAAGCTGCTTTACATTTTTAATGAAGATACATTATGTATAATGAATGTATACAAATTCCATAACTTTTCTATTTGTGCGTATTCTAAAGAAATATGGTGGCTTAAAGCAGTATAGTTGAATGGATTACGATAAAAAAGGCTACATATCGATGGTCCTGTGCAATAAAGACACAATTCAAAATTGAAAAAATAAAAACTGTTATTAATGTTAAGTGGCTCGTCTATAATCCTTGTCTAATCCATTTCCATCCCTTACTAAAGTAAGCAGTGAGGACTGCTAAGGTGAATTCAAAAGTTTAGGCATGGATTCGACAATGATTAGAGATATGAGCCACATAATAGTAACAGTTTTTATTTTTTGAATTTTGAATTGTGTCGTTATTGCACTTGGACCATCGATATGTATGTATGTATGTATGTATTTACGTATATATATGTTAATATTAAAAATACAAACAGAAAGACGCATATGAATGTATGTATGTATATATGATAATATTAAAAAACAGAAAAATGCATATGTTCATACCCTGCAGGGAAACCACGAACTAGTGAATCAAATTTCTAGTTTCGTACTAGGTCTTTATCGCCAAAAAGGAACTAGTCCGATAGGAGCTAGATCCCCACCAGTCCAAAATCGGCGAAAAGTGGTACGTTTAAAAAACTAATTTTTTCAGTTCTTTTCACTAGAAATCTATTTCTAAAGTGACGAATTTAGAACTGGTTCGGAACTAACGAAAAAGAGATGCAGAACGAACTAGATCTTATTTGTCGAATTTAGAACTAATTCGGAACTATCGAAAAAGGGATGCTGCAGGGCGCTTGTTTACTTTACATAGATATGTGTTCGGCGGCTTCTTCGTTCAAATACGCTTCTATTCTGCATTTCGCAGATATTTTTTCATAGCTTGGTAATACAAAACCAAAATTTGTGTTAACATTTCAACATCTTGGAACCGTCTGGAATCTAACAGCGAGCACCTCTGCAAACTCAGCTACAGCTAAACGTATGTAAACGTACATTTCTTACAATCACTCAAACAAATTTAATTTCAAATTGAAAACACATTTCTTTCAAAATAACTTAAAATCGCACACACGGAAGAACCAAAAAGATTGAAAAATCATCGTCTGTCGATTTTAGAACTGGTTCGGAACTATAGAATTTAGGACTAGTTCGGAACTGTCGAAAAAGGGATGCAGCGGGGGGCAATTGACACTTCCTAGGACATCGCCATGTTAAATTCGCCAGTTGCTTGCATGCAAAAGAGATTTATCGCGAACCAGTACTGGGTCTAAATGTACTAGAAGCACACCAGTTCAGAACTAGAGATTTTCCCACAGGGTATGTACAGTGACGAGCAAAACTGTAACAAGGTGTAACACTTTTTAATGCACCCACCGCTATGTTTCCAAGTTCTAACGACTTTCATCCTTTGGTTGTATATTCTTGTTTGTTTCTTGTGTTCCCTCTCTCATAACGATTTGAAGTCAGTACAACAACAATAAAAAACCCAGCAGACAAAAATTTAAATTAAGGCAAATGTTACAGTTTTGCACTTACTCTCAGTTTTGCATTTTACAGTTATTTTTTACTTAGTTGGAAGTCAGATGACTTTTTTCTGTATTGTAATTTATTGAAGAAGTAATCACCAGTAAATAATATAGTTTATCAGGAACCATAAATGTAAATAATAGATTTACTGTGGAAAGGCGGGGCCGCAGGAAAGTGGAAAAAAATTTTAGAGTTTGCTACTTGAAAATATTTAGATTGATAAAAAATATAGCCTAAAGTGTTCCCAAGGGCAAAGGAAGTCTATCAAAAAATATTACGGACCAATATCTTGTGAGCTTAGCAGCAAGTAGCAATGCAGCCACTATTACAGAAGCGCTTAAGGTATTAAACTTTAATGCAAATCAGTAGACAGCGAGGCGACGAATTGCCAAATTGGCGCAAAGGCATCATAAAAGCAGAAAAAAGCTAATTTGACCAAAATATATGTGCGAGAGTGGTAGCATTTTGCTGTGTCGCCCGGAAACCGGACCGTTGCCTATTGGGATATGTTACGCCTTTCAGAATGCAATAAAAAACATATTTTTAAGTTTCAATTGAAGGTTATTTGGTCTGACAAGACTCAATTAATTGCTTTCAATCAGATGGCCGGGCATGGTATCGGGTCAAAGACCCAAATTAAGCCCATGCGCAACATGTTAGGCAAACTGTGAATCACAGTGGTCGTTCAATAATAGTTTGGGGTTGTATTTAAACAATTTTATGGGTCCGTTAGTACGCATTATGCGTAAGGAACAGTATGGGTGCATTCCAAAACGTCAAAATACAAAGCATCAGTCTCTTTTATTACCGAACCGCACTAGAAGAAAAAGTATAACTTGCGCAACCTAGGTGAAAACTAGAATCTAACTGTGGTTGCGTACATTTGGCATTCCAAGCTGCTGAGGTTTAGAAATAAAAGAGACTGATGCTTTGTATTTTGACGTTTTGGAAAGCAGCCTATCTGTTCATATTTCAACAAAATTTGCAAGATGTAGTCGAAAAATGAGAGTTTCTGCTGAAAAATCATCCAAAACATAGTGCATATGTTCGCAAAGACTGGATACAAAATAAAAAATTTGCTAATTTGAAATGACCTCCACAATCCGCGGACATAAATCTCATCGAGAATTTGCGAAATCAACTAGAAGCACAGCTTATTAAGTATCCAAGTCCGTATAATAGAGTACATGAGCTGTGAAAGCAAACTAAGGATATATGGAGGATATACCTCCAGAAGTTTTACAGAGATAAAAATAAGGTATGCCAAATCGCATCCAGAAACTAAAACAAGCAAAGGGGTACCGAACATTGTGTTAGAAGTTCTTTTTTCCCGTTAAAATTGTTAAAAAGTTCTTAAAAATATATGAGTGCAAAACTGTAACATCTGCCTTAATTTACATTTTTGTCTGCTGGTTTTATTATTGTTGTTGGATTAACTTCAAATAATTACGAGAGAGGAAGTACAGGTGTACCAATAATAACATACAACAAAAGTATGAAAGTCGTTAGAACTTGGAAAGATAGCCATGACTGAAGTAAAAAGTGTTACAGTTTTGCCCGTCACTGTACGTACACACATACATACATCTATAGGTACATGGATATATACTAGGGCCGGGATTATCCGTATAATCTTTACATAATCTAAGTTTCAACTGGCACTGAAAAACTGGCCCTTATAGTGAAAAGTTGCTAGCAGTTGAGTCTACGTTATCGGAACGGCCCACATTCCAAATACATATCCTGGTTTTACAGATTCAAGGCGCTTTTATTTAATACCAAATGTCTTTCATTTTCGCTTCTTAAAAGTATGCACATACATATGTATGTAAGTATAATTGTTAAGTATAGAAGCTACCAACGTACATACATACATACATATACATATATATTAAAAAATTGCTAATATCATTTGGATGCATTGGCTAGGACAATGCTGATGTTTAGCGTTTTCGTTTTTGTATCCCTTTGCGGAACTGGAAATGTTATCTATTTGAGACAAAAACTTGTGCACTTCCGCTTCCTATGTCAACTTGAAGGTATGAACGGCAAGTATGTAGCATACATATGAGTAATAAAAAAGCTTTCTATATTTCCATTTATGCATCAAAGAATTGTACTTACCACCAAACACCCGCGAAAATATGCACTAGCGTGAATAAACTATTTAGTTGACGAAATTCAGATACTGAAAATTACAATCAAACGCGCAACTTTTATCAGACGGGAAGAAAAAGAGGTTATGTCCTGTATTTTTCTACTGCCAATTTTTTGATATTACAAAAGTGCCACCTCGAAATATTTCAGGCTAAATTCATACCTTAATATCAATTTAACACATTTTATCACTTTTTATTGAACAATTTTCACTTTAAATCACACTTTTTGCACCAAATAAATTAATTGAGCGCGCACTTGAAGTGAACAGAAAATTTGCAAACGGTACTTTTATGCAAATGTGTACAGGGTGCCTACGATTTTCTAATAATGAAGGCTATCAAACGTGCTAAATCTTTTGTTTCTATTTATTCAATAAATTATACAACGGAAACGAATTACACAGGGTTTTTGCTGGAGAACTGGCTATCAATGAGAGGATTTAAGATATTTATGTGCCAATTATTTGCAGTAAACTTTAAAGATTTTTCTATTTTTTTATTATAATGCACCCTGCGCCACAAACATATGGCAACGCTTCAGCCGGCTGATTTGTTTTGACACACACAGGAAAACATCTGATTTTTGCAGCGAGGTGCTTTAACTCCAAAATTGTTAATTTTCCAATTTTATAAATAAATGAATGCAGATAAAAGTGCAATAAATCCTTCGATTAAAAAAATGGAAGACCCTTTGCGGCCGAAAGCGGTGCCACTTGCCGCTGAAACGGTGCTTTGGTTTGAATTTCTGCTCGACCCACATTTAATTACCAAACATTTGCAGAAACCTAATCCAGGTAAGTGCGAATGGCAAATATCCAAAAGATGCACTTAACATTAAAGCAAATACCATTCTTTAGATCCCAGCCCTTTGGAGCTAATGTCTCAATTCATATCTGTTACACCGGATGTTATAATGCCGCCGCAGTATGATCTGACTTCGCCAGAGGCTGAAAATGTACCAGGCGGTATACCAGTGACACCGGGCGCAGGCGTAACTGGTACTGTCATAATGAGCAACATAGATGGACTGCGTATACCGCGAAAGCAAATTGCTTTAAAAATATTAACGCTCAAAGTGGCGACATGGTTGAAATGGAACTTGGGTAAGTGGAGAATTAATATATAAAAAAACATTGGTGAAATCTATTCTGTATATATCCCAGATGTCCTGGAAAAGAGTCTTCCCATTCCAAAGCAGCTCTTTCTGTTGCGCGATTTATGTACAGTATGTTTTGGCAAATTGGTACCAATACCTTTACAGCAGGATTTTCAGCAAAAAGTTTGTAAGTAGATATATCTATGTAGAAATTTTATTTAACATCATACTAGAACACGCTTGGAAATATTGTGTTTTGCAGCGCCGGATGGCCATGAGCATGCAGCCCGTTTTGCATTAACCTTTTATCATCGATGGGTGCTACGCTTGCAAATACTGAAAGATATTGCCATGAAAGCTGCACGACCGTCCATGGCTAATATGTGAGTGAACAAATTTTCTTAATGATTTTTTTTTTTAATATATGTATAATAATTTGTTTTTTATTTGAAAAATATCTTAGGTTCGTACCAATGGAGCCTATGCATCAATTCTTTGCTCCCGAAATACCTCCACAAAATAGCGTTGAATATCTACAGGAGCTATGTAAATCAACAGAACCTTTTTATGTCTTCACCTATGACACATTTGTAACACTTCACGCCGATAACGAAACAATGCGTCAAAATTTCGAACAAATGCAAAAAATATCCCTTGCCGAGTTGCGTGCACAAATCTATTTCGATTTAGTTAACTTTTACTTGTATACCAAACAATATGTCCTGGCGCGAGAAGCTGTTAATGAATGCCGACGTAATTTAAGAGAAATGAAGGCAGACTACCGAGCTGAATCGACTAATCACACTGCATCTGGCTATCTATTTTGCCACGTTAACGATGATGAACTGGAGGGTTATCTCCTGGCTTGTGGTTGCAGTGAACAGCGTACGACTTTGACGGAGCGATTTAATGCATCGTCGTTAAAGCAGTATAAGGTGAGTTCTTTTAACATACGTATGCCAATTAAAACATTATATTTAAAATTAAATACTTACAACCCCAAATTAAGGACATTATTGAAATATTACGAGAGGATAATCATGTGCGTGAAATCCCGCTTGTAAATCGGCGTATACTCGAGCTTGATATTGAGGGCGTCATTTCGCAGGGTACGCTGAAGGAACCCCGCACGTTAGAAATGCAAGTAGCCGCGCTGAATGTGGTGCGCAGTATTTTTGAGGAGGGAAACATTTTTGCCAGCGTTGATTACTTTGAAAAATACAGACATATGAATTGCTTTGTCGCAATAATAGATGTGAGTTAATGTGTAATCGCTGGTTTAGTTTTCAATTAATAAATTCATTAATGTCATTTAGGCCATCAGTAATGTGTTGCCGCATTGTACACTTAGCGAACGCAATATCGTCAAACATTTTCTTATAGACTGCATTTTGAAGCAAAATAATGGAAAACAGTTTCTACAAAATGTACAATACATACAATTCTTCACACCCGCTGAATTGCGAGATTTGGAGCGACAAACTGCAGAAGAGGAAATTATTGTGCCAACACTAGCAACGTTGGGTGAATGGAAGTTCAGTTCGAAGAGTATGTAATGCGCCTGCGTGCCGCGCAAACCGACTTTTTTTTAGAAAATGTATTATACATCATTTATTTTCCAGTTATGCGCATTGAGGTTGGCTCACTTGAACGTCAACTTATCTCCTGCACAAATGCAAATACGGTCCGCAAACTGCTGGTAAAATTGGCGGCCACCAATCCAACTAAACCTTTATGGACCGTCAATCCAAGCTGGGAGATAGCAACGCCAATAAAGTCACTGCTTATGTCTATGCAACGCGGCTTTCTGCAAGATTTTGCTTATGTTTTGTTGGGAAAAGCGCGTGAAATGACGGCGAAGAGTGTAAGCTCATTTTTATTTGTGTTGTCTAATATGTGAACAAATTCACTTTTATGATTTTAGGACTATATTGGCGCCGTGTCAATGCTAAGCGTGCTAAAATCGGAAACACAGCGACAAGAGCTTTCAAACACCACCATCGTTTCGAAACTCGGCAAACTGGTAAATTGGGAAATTTTGCTTATCCAAATCACACAGTGTTTAGAGGAATGGAACCGCAAAACTTTAGATCTGCAGTCACTAGGCAATCGCTGCAAGCAATGTTTAGCGTCGTTACAAACCAATGACAATATTATACCGCGCATTGAGGTAAGTATAGTTTGGAGTTTAAACCCAATAGTAGGGTAATTAAGACATATTTGTTAAAAAAATATACATTTCCATAGATCATCGAAAGTTGCGCCATAATGCTACTTAATCTAGGCGATTGGAATGCGCTCATGTTCTTGGATAAGCGCCTGCCGCAGCTCGAATTACCCATCGCCTTTGCAGCTACTGTACTTGATATGGAGAAAATGAAGGGTTCTAAAAAGGTTACGCGAGATGCCTTCGATTTGGTATTGCAAATGTTTGTGAATACTACGAAGCGTAGCGGTGGTCCTGGTGGTAGTGGTGGTGGTGGTAGTGGTGGCAGTTCACGGAATTCTCCCTCACTAGTTGTTTCCACTGGCCTTCAGCCGTTTCTGAAACGCATACGCCATCAACTGGTTTTCTCCTTGGCCATATCTTGCCTTGGAAAAATACAAAACATACTCAGAGATGATACAAATCACGATCTCAGTGGTGAATATATGCATTTGTGGCCAGCTGGTATACCAAGGTATGTGTGAGCTAAATAATGTTGTACCAAATGCATGTATGTATGTATATAATCAAAGCAAATTTTTGTTTACAGCCCAATGGCCTATAGCGTGCGTATAGTTTGCGAAACATTGCATTGGTTGCTGACAGAAGCGCTTAAATACTATCCACAAACTATTACATGGCTGAAAATGAAAGGGGATCTGGAATTAGGTGAGTTACAGTTTTTTTCGATTCATACTTGAATTGTAAATTAACTCTTTGTCATTAGCAATTGGCAATAATGAAGCTGCTATGCGTTGTTATGTCAATGCGCTCATCACCGGCACTGATTACTGCACTTTCCCGCTGCAACGTAATGTAGCTGATGACTATGTAATTCACAAAATGATACGTTGCTCCTCAAACCTGGGCTGTCATATGCAAGCCACCGTTCTGTGTCAGGTATTAAAGTGCAGCAGCGCAGTTTTAAAATAATATTTTTTTTTAAATTTTTACAGTTTTTAGAAGAAATCGACTATGGTATCGTGTTTAAGAAACTCACTGAGAAATCTTCTAACTTCACCGATGCAATGGACGCATACTATAACTGCATTTGGGATACAACATTGCTGGAATTCATAATTAATTTGCACGCAAGAAAGGGAGAGCATAGCAGAAAATTAGAAGCGGTCGGTTTAACAATACAATTAAACATCTCTTAAACAATCATATTCTAATTCCATTTTGATTGCAGATCGCAATTATGGGCTCCTTGGAATTGAATGCGAATAATAACGATGAAATCAAGCGTGAAGCAGCAGCTATACGAAAAACAAGATTTCTGCGCGCATTAGCGAAGCAGTATTTGTTGTAGATGAAATGCGTATTACAGTTATCCGAACCTTTTATATAATTTATTTTTAATTCGATTATGCGCAATCATATTATAAAATTGAACAGATCTTAGTTATGTATATAGCAGTACTTATGTGTAGTTGTAAGCTATTTTCTATGATTATGCGAAGTATCTAGACTTAAACTTAATTGTAAAGTATTATAGTATTCTCCCAACAGACAAAATAAAATTTTTTAAACCATTGAGCAATGTGTTCTGATTCAAAAACTAAGTATTTTTGCAACGATTAACAACAAAAAAGAATGGAGACTTGTGCAAACAAATAAAACAAAATTGAACAGAAATATATCTGATCATAGGATTTTATCAAAGATGCGGCTGCGACGATAGTTTCTCAAAAAAATTTAGTCCAATGCCCAATGCTAAACATGTTCGTCGAGTCGATGAATTAATTTCTCAAATGAAACTTCATTACTTGGGGCGTCTGCCACGTCCACCGCCGCCAGCTTTAACCTTCTTATTGGCAGCCTTTTTATCATCCTCGGCCTTTCGCTTAGGTGTGGGCTTATTGTTACTTGTAGACGGTAGTGCCTAAATATATATATATATATATTTTTTAATACATACATACATTTAGCTTCAATTTATTACCTTAAAAAAGTTGTCTAGTCGTCCTTGTGTCTGAGTATTTTTAGATTTTTGTATTTTCTTGGCGCCAGAACGTACCCGATCTTCATTGAATTGCCGATCGCCACATAGAAACTTTACCAAACCTTCTTCATCGGGTTCAGTCCACTTAAGCTATAAATGCGAATCAAATATTTATGTAAAATAATTTCTCCAAGAATATACACATATTTACATGTGCATCTTTACTAACCTCAATAGTCGACGGATCCGTTACATCGGGTTTTACGAACAATTCACGTGCAACTTGATAGTTCCAATCTTCCGCTACTGTGTACTTCTTTTGGTCAATGTTCTTGAGTATTGTCTCAATATCGCGATAAGTATTTATCAACTCAATGGCGCGCTTCGGTCCAATACCTTTGATACCTTCACAGTAATCACAGCCCAGCAGTATGCAAAGATCTATAAACTGCAAAAAAAGGTTTATAATACTGCTCATACATTCGAGGGCCTTCAAGTACTCACCTCAGTGCTTGTCAATTCGAATCCTTGAAGCACTTTTTCATAGATAAACTCTTTTACCGGCATCTTCCGCGCCTCACTGAATGTCAAATGACGCAGGAGTACACTGGAACCAAAAGTAAGTGCATCCATATCCTCTGTAGCTGTAGCATAAACTTTGCCTGCTTTCACCAACGCCGAACATTGCGCTTCCGCTTCACATGGTGCCTCTACATAGGGTACTCCCATCAATTTAAGCAATTCCTGCGCTTCACGCGCATGCTCTTTGGTTACTCGCACTAACCGGCGATTGAATTTTTCCACTTCCTCAGCATTGCCCGCTTCTTCGGCCTTTTCCAAAGCCTTTTGTGCTTCTTCCCGGCGTTCTGCACGTTTCGCTAATTCACCCGATTTTAAATCTGGTGGCTTACCATCGAACACATACACGGGCTTTATACCATGCTCCAGCAAGCGTATGGTTCTATAGAACATACCCATCAGATGCGATGTAGGTTCGCCATCGACAGTTGTCAATTGTGCGCCATCAGAGCGTACGGCGATCAGAAATTGATACAGGCACATCGATGCATCAATAGCCACTTTGCGTCCTTTGGAGGGAATCGTACAAGTATATGAACGTATTCTTTTTTTTTGCGAAAAAACTCACCGAAATAGTTTTTAATTTCATTCTCTTTAATAGCAGATGGTGCAATATCTGCTATTAACTTGGCTAAGCCCAAAATTCCCATGATATTCTCCTTTAAATTGCAGTCAGGACCAACAGGACAAAATGTGCCAAGTAGGAGAAGCAGATGGATGTTGGCGCGCGGTTATTTACCAATGCCGCAACGATAAACCATGATCGCAAATGTTATCGAAATATTGTTATTACAATCGAAGGAATGCATTAGCGTGGCGGTAAATTTGAAAAGAAATTTGATAACTTTTGGATTTATTACGAGTTTTCTTCCTTCCTAATCAAGGGCATACACGTTAGGAAATCAAATTAGAATTTCTAACATATATTTGGTTTCCTTTCAGCATCAAAAAAATAACTTATAGATTTACGATCTTTACTTTACGCCAAATAGTACTATTTTACCTAGTACCAAAAAAATCATTTATGTGCTGAGAAAAAGAAGAAGCATAAAGTAAAGAGGAACTAGTGAAATAGTTGAGTGTATTTTCCATAAGTGAATTTCGTGCCAGGAAAACGGCGAGAAAAACTTTTTCGGGAAAAAAATATAGTAAATATGGTATGTAAATTAAAAAAAAGTACTTCAAATTGTTAACTAGTGTTGAAAGTTTTCAATTTCAATGAAATTCGGTGCGAATTGAATGTGTTTAACGTGAATAAGTGAGTGGAAAAAATTTGAAGCGCGTCACATTCGGTGAATTTTTCGCTTTCATCGTTTCGTCTTCTTTTTTTATTGGTCGTCGTTTTGCTGTTTCGTTGCGCCGCGCTGCATCGTGTATTTGCTACGCCGTGGTGGTGTATAAACATGGCGTCGGTTCATTTTCACGTACTTCACATTTCGTATGAGCTTTCCTCGCTTGCCGCCTTTTGTGTAGTCTTTTCTTCAGCGCACGAGCGAATTCATCTAGTTGAAAATTTCGCGTTTTCATTTTCGCCTTGATTCGTTGTTCAAGCGGCATACGTTCATCCATTTTATATTCATTCGATTCGGTGTTGCCGTGGCTCACCAGAGCCAATATAAAGACGAACACGGGAGAAAAACAAAGGCGAAAAAATTTCTTCTATTTCCTATGCGCGGAGGATATTGTTGTAAAAGTTGTAGTTTTAGATATCTTTGTAATGGGTGGCTTGAGGGTTTGAACTGTTTGCTGAGGCAACAGTTGAACCTATTTTCATGTGCTCGGCAAGTGGTTTGGAAATATATAAATAGGTATCTTTGTACATACACGTGTTGCAAAACATACATACCATGCACGTACATACATATATCCCTGGGGAGAAAACTCTAGAAGGTTAAAATTTATTTACTTTATTTTAAAAGCGTACACTTGTTCTTTAATTTCGCTAGACTTTTTATGATTTGGATTAAAGTGCAGAAATACTACGTAAATGTCCTTACGCTCGATAGCAGGTTTCATGCATCAAATCAACATATGCCGTCTAGTTAATTGGATACACAGTTCATATGTATGTACATGTGGGCAGGGTCAGATCCAATGTAGGAGGCACTCTGTGGTTTTAATACCACGCGAAGCTCCAATTTACTATCTACACCATTCCTAAAACTACTTGGTGAGCGATATCAATTTTTAATTTTTTTTCATGGTGTTATTATTCCACCATGATTTTTTTTTTTTGTTTCTGAATATTTGCTTTTTGGACTAATCCTATTGCCAATAAAATGACTGACGAGAACCTTTAGCTTCCGTCGAGATGCGACGAGTAGTTTGTGCGGTTAATTTCTTTAGAAGTCTAGTTAATTCTTTTCCATTGAGAGTTCAGACTCACTACGGATGATCCAATGCATAGGCGCCCAGAAGGTCAAAAAATTTTATAAACAATTGTTTAAACACTTGGGACCAACAGAATCATACCCCTATTCGGAAATGCAGCTAAGCAACAACATCCGTCTCTTATATCTAAACTATAATTGCTGGAAAAGCCCAATTAGCGAAACGTAAGTTCCGATTCGATATTATAGTTTAGAAATAAGAGACTGATGGTTGTAGCGGCTATTCCCGCACGGGTCGGCTAGTTCGTCAACGTTGTTGTTGTTGTAGCGGCTACTAAACCCCGCTCGAGTCGGCTCATCCATCTGCGTTGTCATCTGTTTCAGCTAAGATAAGGCACAGGAAGTGTGCAACTTCAACAGTGGTTGTTCATAGAGGCAGGGGCGTTAGCTGGGAGGGGTCTTGGGCGCATGTAAAGAGGTGCCGTGAGTCATGTGAAGACTCCCCTTGCCGGGCACTCATTTGAACATCTGTATTGACTCAGTTCAGGTATGTGTTTAGGCTGCAGCAGCAGTCAGAGCAAAGTTGGTCTATTGTGATGAGGGTAGTTGTCTGCCCAACACGCCAGTGATTTTCTGCATTTCCGAATAGCACCCATATCACCGCCGGTCGCCATGTACTAATAGTTCCAGGTATAATACATATGTACGTATGTGGCCTACAATCAGTATTTTTCGTTTCATCACAATGACGTTCAAGGGAACAAATTCATCTATATGTATACATATTTTAGTACATAGTAAGTTCTGGAAGCTGCTTTCATAGTTAACCTCTATGTTTGGGAGGCACACGAATTACAACTTAACTAAAAAAACTTCAAAACATTTACCAATTAGATATGTAGTTTATTTTACAGTTGTATTTATATTTTAATAAAATATTTAACTAATCATATATTTGATGATCTTATGCTTAAAGGAAAGCGAGAACAAAACAGAGGAGACAAAAGCCGGAGGCGAAGCTGAGGCATCAGCGACGACAACGGCAGAGAAAACGTCTGAAAACGATAAGAAAGAGGTAGCCGCTAGTGGTAAAGAAATAGAAGAAACAGCACCAGCGGCAGAGAAGGAAAACAGTACTGGGGCTGGTGACGAAGCCAATGATAAGAATGCGGATAAGGCGCCTACAGCGGCAGAGAATGACGATAAGAAACCTAAATCAGAGTCTGATGCAGGTAAGCAGGGCAATATGGATTTTTGAGAATGGGCGAAAGGTTTCTTAATGATCATATCTAGCTACATTTATAAATGTACATACATACATACATGTAGATTTATGCTACGCGGCGAACATTCATTTCTCTTCAGTACTGTTGATAAGCTGTAAAACAAACGCGGCTAATGCGAACGTATAAAGCATGAAAACCAAAAAATGAATAATGGATGAACTTTGTAATTCAGCGAGTTGTTGCTCTTTTGCGTTTGTGTTTTGCTACGTATTCGGTTCGGTCGACAGACCTCCGGTGTTCGCTGGCAGCAAAATGTATTTGTATGTATGTATGTACATATATGTAGAACGAAGACGTGAAAGCAAGGAAGTGTGTTTTAGCCGGCTACATTGCTGACGTTGCGTGGCGCATCGTGTTAGCGTGTCGCATTTACTGTATGAATTGGCGCGCTTTCTCGGTCACGGTTCGAATCCCGATGAAGGCAACTTTTGTGTTTGTTTGTTTGTTGTTTATTGAATGCAAGTGTTTGGGTTAAGGAAGTTAAAGGAAAATTTAATTTATGTATGTGCTTTTCTTCCTTGCTTTGCGCTTTCTAAATAAGCTAGATTCTGTGTTGAGAGCGTCAAAGTATGCAGTTCGTTAAATATATATATAAAATCTATTGACTTCTCAGAAACATTCTATCTACCCTTGGATTTGTTCATACGAAACCCTGACAAATATGGTTTTGTGTAGTAATGTCCAAGGTACAATAAATATTCACTATTTCATAGTTTATCTCGTCACGTTATATGTGACTGTTAAACTTCCCAAGGGTGAATACAATGCTTTTTTCTTAAATAAAAAAATAGATAATTAAAAAATAAATTCATGTATCTAATTAACAAAAACAAACAAACAAAATATTAAAATCATTAGCAGCCAGTTTCACGATTTTTTTTTTTAATGTATTATGAAAACTGAAAAAGGGAAATAATTTCTCACTTAAATTGCTGATGAAACCGGAAGGTTAATTTATTAAATTAAAAATAATAATAAAATAAAGGAAAATACATATTTTTGTACATAAAAAATATTAAAAATGAGAAAAATGTAATAATTTCATTTCAGTTAATGCGAAGACGTTCATTAGTACAAAAACATTTGTGATCTTTAATGGTACAACAAATAATTGATAAAAATTAGAAAAAAAATATGTAAAACAACAGCAGTTCTTAACTAACGCTAAGATTTATAATTAATATAGAGAATTAGAAAAAAAACGCATAAAAAACGCATACATAAAAATTCACTAGGGAATGAACAAGGTTAAAAGAAAAATAAATAAAAAAATCTAAACTATAAAAACGGTAAACTCTAAAATCTATAAAATTCAAAACGAATAAATAAAAATATATTTCGCATAAAAAAGAATCTTTATATCAAATATTGAAATTAGTTCCTTAATTTAAGTTCCATATCTTAAAATGACACACAATATTAATAAAATTACGAATTCAATTAACAATTTTGTTTGGTTTTCATAAAAATTGTGTTTTACCATACCAGACAACATATCTGACGATAAAGCCTCCACTGATGAAGTTGATGATAAAAAGGCGGCACAGAAGGACAAACTACCCGATGCCAAGGAGGCTAACGACTCGAAGGAAAATGACGTAACAGATGGTGATGGTGATGGGGATGGTGATGGTGATAAGAAGACTGAAGGCAAGGAGAAGAATGGAACAGTAGCAGGTGCTGCAGGCGGCGCCGCCACGGCAGTCGCTGCTGATAAAAAGAAGCCAGCCAAAGAGCAGGGCAAAGAAAAAAATGATAAAAAGGTGGAGAAAAACAAAGAAGATAAAGATAAAGAAGAAGAAGCGGAGGGCGAGAATAAAGAAGTAGATGAGGATGATGAAAATGTGGTGGCATTAGCTGAAATTGATAGAATCAACGATAACATTAATAAAACTCGCGTAGATGGACTCCAAACATTGCATGAGGTATGTAATTTAACGGCAATATGCCTAAATTTAAATTCATATTTTAATACATTAATAATTTTGCAGCTTTGTTTCGGTTCGGTTGGTAAAAATAATGTTGTAAAAAAGAATTTACGCTCATTTGCCGGTTTCGAGTTTGAAAAGGACTCTAGCGAATATAAGAAAAAGTTTGATGCCATTAAGAAAACCGACGCTAAGGCACTAAAGGGTATTTGTGATATACTGGCATTGGAGCGCAAAGGTATAAAAACTTAAAATAATAGTATTAAATGTATATTGTACTATGTCCCCGATTAAATGTAGGCACAAAAGATGAGATTGCAAATCGTGTGCTAAAATTCCTTATGGAACCCGATGAATCGCTATGCGTAGATGAGGCTGCCGAAGAGGAAGAAGAAGATATTGAAGAAGATGAAGAGGTAATTTATACGCCTTTCTTATTAGCCCTTTGTTTATCAATTTTTTCTGTTGCAACAGCCAGTAGATGAGGAAGAGGAAGAAGTTAGCGCTGAAGAGGAGCGTAAACGTAAACCCAGCAGCCGCGCACCCGCACGAAATTCAACAAGTGGCCGCCCTAGACGCGCAACCGCTGGAAAAAGTATGGCATATAATTTTTTATCCCAATACTAGTAGTCTAATGTAAATGAAAAAAAAAAATATATATATATACTTTTTAACGTTTGTGTTGCAGAGATGTCCGCTTATGTCGACTTCTCGAGCTCGGATGAAAGTGAACGCCAAGCAGTGCCGGCTAAACGAAAGCGTAACGATGGCTCCGAATCGGGCTCAGATGTAAATAGCAAATTATATTTAATTTCAAACTTTTTCCCTATAAGCGTTTGTTATTTATGCTTTTAGTATAATCCGTCAGGCGGCAACTCTGATTCGGATGGTGCGCGTGGCGGCGTTCGTAAAGCATTGGCACGTGGTGGGCGCGGCGGCCGACCAGTACGTAAATCTTGGAAGAAGAATTCAGATTCTGAAGAAGATGATTTTGATCTATCAGATGCCGATAGTGATGTGAGGGCAATCTGTGCTGTTTTGATATACATATACTCTTACTTCAATTTTTTATTAATACATTTTTTAATAAAATGAAAATGTATTATGGTTTTTGTTGTTCCAGGTGCCGAAACGTAAACGCGCTACACCTGGTAAACGTGGCCGACCTGCTGTTGCTGCTACTACCAAACGTGGTACACGTGGACGTGCTGCCAAAGCAACTAAATCGCGCAAGCGCAAGGACTCTGAAAGTGAGGAAGAGGTGTCTGAAGAGGAGGAAGAAGAGGAGCTGTCTGATTTCGGCAGCGATCAGAGTGAGGTAAAAAGCGATGGCACATTTGTGTTTTTTTTTTTTTTTTTTTTTTTTGCATCTAAGCAATACTATTAATGGTGTATGCTTTTCTGCAGGAAGAGGAGTCCAAGAAGTTTAAGAAACCCCCGGCGCCTGTGAAAAATGCTAAAACTAATAACAAAGCCAAAACGCCAGTCAAACGTAAGCATAAGTAGTTTTGGTAACTGTACCATATAATTTTAGTCCCGTTTTGACTGTATATACATATGTACATATATATTCAATTATTTAACTTAGCTGCTGGTCGGCCGAAAAAATCAAGCAAAAAAGAGGAGGAAGAGGAATCCGATGATGAGGATGAGCCACTAAACAAGAAGGGAAAAGCGACATTCCCCACGGTACGATGCATAAGCGTGCAATTTTTGTTTTTTTTTTTTAATAAATTGTTATTTTTTGTACAGGATGAGCAAATACGCAATTATGTTAAGGAAATATTAGATAAAGCAAATCTTGAAGAGATCACTATGAAAACAGTGTGCAAGCAAGTGTATGCAAAATATCCCGATTTCGATTTAACAGATAAAAAGGACTTTATCAAGGCCACGGTGAAGGCGGTAAGTTTGGAAAGCCTAAAATTTTTACTGACTCGCAATTAATGCAATATTTTTATCAAAATCGTACATTGAATTTTTTTTATCTTAGAACATGTTTTAATTTTTTCTTTTTCACAATTATCAAAAATTTGTACGCAATCGCTCAAAAACAATAAACAATTATACAGAATGGTGTTTGATAAAAAGTTCTTTACATATGAAAATTACTTATCAAAACAACCACAATATCTAGTTTTCAAAACCCCTTTCCCTTCGCAAATTAATTGAATTTAAAAGGTTACGATTAGCATTATACATCAAATGCTCCCCTGTTTTAAAAAATTAACCTTGCCGTTCGCAAACCTAGTTTGCCAGTCTGCTATTCTTATTTTGAATTTAATTATTTTTACTTTCATTTTTAATACAATATGAGTGTACAGTCTTGCCAAACCCATAAATTGCATATATTTTCAATGAATTGTTTTTTTTTTTACAGCTAATTGCGGCATAAATGCAGGCCACACAAGTATGTGCAAAAAACTCAAAACATTGCAATATTGCAAATTAAAAAGGCAGCGGTGCTACAGCACAGCAAGTATGCTAACCAACAATTGTTGTCAGTCTGCGCCACAGCATCGGTGTATTTATATTTAGCTATTGAAGACGGTTTAAATCGACGAATTCAGGAGCTTTAAGATTTCAAGATTTTTTTTGTCAATATTAAGATTGCTTTTCATTACTCCCCTCCGGCTCTTCCTAAGTTGGTGCACCATGTGCATTCTAATTGAAGCGAAACACACTCAAAACAATTAAAAAAAAAAACACAAATCTTTGATTATTTGACTAATTTTATTTCAACTTGATCATACACAAATGGTGTGTATAATAACTTGTCAATGTTGTATTTCTTCTTTTATTATATATCTAGATACTATATACATCCAACGTTCTTTATTCTCATTTTTTTACATGAATGGTGTACTTGCACACAAAACTACACCCATGCATACATAATATATTTTGTTTTTAGTTCCAAAGCATTGTATAAATACTAGCTTTTCTTATGACTTTCAAGAGAAAAACAAAAAAAAATGTGGAATGCAAATTTGTAGAATTTCTGTAAAATGTTTAATTATAATAAAACGCAAAAACCCTAAACATAATAAAATGTGCGTAAAGTAAGATTACGTAAATTATAATAAACAAATGGAAAACATATACAAAAAGTAAAAATCAAGTTATTTAATTTTTGGTTTGTATTTGCTAAAAATACTATTTGTAATAAGGAGAAAAGTAGCGGAAAGCAGATACACTAAAAACAATTTTGGAAAAGCAAAAAAAAAATTGGATGAAATTAAACAAAAAACTAGCGTCAGTACAAACAAAAAAAAAAAACAAAAAAGTATGTATGTACTTTATTTTTTAATATTTGGCCACATTTAAGACAAATCGACATATAAAAAAAAAACAAGTCAAAAATGCTAAAAAGGGAGAATTATCATAACAAAAGTATGCGCGAATTATGTTTAAAAAATGTGTATGGAGCAAATAAGTGAAATAAAGTGAAAATAAAATTAACTCCTATCTAAAAGGTATTACTTTTTTTAATAAAAATATATGTTAGATGACTGAAAGTGTTTCAATATTCCCCTTCGAAAGCCGGCCCGAAGCTTTTTGCAGATTGCCAAAATTTGAAGGGAGTATATAGTCGATAAAACAAAAACTATTTGTTACTTATAAAAATTTAGTGTATCGCTTTCAAAATAACAATTTTTAAACGCTTTCCCGGAATCCACTCAGTTCTCGCAGTGAATTATCTTTTTTGTCTGCTATTGATTCGTGCCTCGAAATGGTAATTGTGGATTTTAGAAGGACAAAATAGCCCACCGAAGCAATAATACGTTAACACCGTGATTGTTCGATGACATTTTTTCGTGTTTTTAGCCGGAAATATCTTCAAAATGACTGACTTATGAGATGGTGAATTATCCTAGTGTAAAATACATGAAATAACTGCCCACAAATCTGACCTTTTCCGACGATTTTGCTCTCTCCCAACGTTCTGCCAAGAATTGCAGGTGCACTACACCTCGGCAATGAAAGACACTAAACTCTGTTACAGCCGTATTCTAATAAAGTAGCAAATCTTAGCTCATCACTGCTGTGATTTCTATTGCGCCTCAAAGTTTGCTGCTGCAGCAAATATGCCGCTACAAAACAAATTGTCGAGTTTTTGTGTATTTTTCTAGCACTAAAAATCGAATTTTTGTGGCACATTTTGAGGCGCACTAGAAATCACAACAGTGATGAGCTAAGTTTTGCTATTCTATTAGAATAGAGCGGTTAATCCGACTCTGAAGAGGTTTCTATTCTACAGTTTTAAGGTACTACCCCGAAGATTGTTGAATGGTTGCATTGTATGCCGAAACTCGTAAGTCCATGTTCCATCATCGGTTACGAATTGTCTTTTAGCGACCTTCGCGGCATCGAGTTTTTGAAGTAAATTCACGAATATCGCAAAACACTTCATTGATGAAAAATCGAGCACTCCAGAGCAGAACACGCTCAAACTTGAACAAAAGGTTAGAGGTGTGCCAACTTGGCGAATGAAAGAATTTTGTGTATTCTTAAGGTCCTCTTACGAGAATCTTGAATCGTGAGCTTGTTAAATTATGTATTCTCGATACTCTCTTGACGGAATATATTTTATGAGAAAGGCTGTAAGAAGTTTTTTGGTCGATATCGAACCCAGCCGAATTTTGTGGACGAATACCGATGTGAAATTTCGATAGATTTGAATGTTTTTAACTGTAAAGGAGTCGCATTGTCGCTAGGAGTCGAAGATATAATCATGATGAAATATTTAAATATTTGTATCATGGATATAATGCGAAAAATGCCATACGATGTAATGCAAATATTTCCCCAGCAAACATTGAGGTTAGTTATCGATTATATAATGATTGGAGAACTAGCCACATTCTCCAATCTCTAACGCTTGAGATCGACTCGAAAAACTATCGAGAATCATAGCGATCTCAACAAAAATGGGACATAGTTCTTGACTCGAGAAAATATTAATTCTCTAATCGAATTCTAATGTTGATCTCTAATGGGATTCGAATTTGAATTTTAAACTGCTATTTTGCTTTATTAAATAAAACGCTTTGTTTGTAAAATTTTTATTAAATGTATTTGCAATAAAATAATAATGAATTTGAACATAAAAAAAAAATTATGATTCATTTAGAATATTGCTTATTTACATTTATTTGAATTTGCGTTTTTTCTCTAATCGTTCTCGAATCGAATTCTAATATAGTTCTCTAACTTCCGTCATCGACTCGAGAACGATTAGAGAAATACCCTAGTTATCTAATGTAGAAATCCAAATTTCTCCAACGTTAGAGACCGTGTTTGCTGGGTCTGTTAACCTACCAGCCAGCAAACTATCCGGAAACGTATTCGAAAATGCGAAAAATTTCGTATACAATCGAATCGATACGTTCTGTAACTAAAGCGGTGGTCATCAGCTTGCCCGCGTTCCAACGACAGTCGGGTCTATGCAAACGGAACGACCCAGATTTGTGTATGTACATATAGCTGGGCATGAATCACGTACTACGACAATCGTCTGAACGATATCGTGTGGAGATAGTCTTGCTTGATGAAGACCAACAATTGTTTGATCGTTTGTACGATATCGTCAACTCGATTCCAATTTTGATTCACGTAAGAGCAACACAAATGCATAAATCATTGTTTTGATGGCATCGTTTTGTCAGCATTGTTTGAACGACTATCGTTTCAAAGTTACGTGATTCATGCCCTGGCCAAGGACTGCCACTCCAATAGCACTCCCAAAAAACTCTTTGGGGAATTTTTATGCTGTTACAACAACAATCAGCCTGCCTGCGGGCAAAGCTCCCTAAAGCTTTCTATACTAAATGTATACAAAGCTTGAAAGAGCTTTGCTCGCGGATAGGCCGATGCCCACCACCGCACTAATGTGTGTATCCGAAACGAAGTATGTCTAAAACAGGGCTCGAATCGTCACATACGATATCGTACTACTCGTCACGTAAAAACACATTTTTCGGATTATGGCATACGTGAACGTACTCTGTGTCCCATTCAGGGCTCAAATCGTAACATCAGTTCACGGATCGAAAACCATACGAAAGAAAATTACGTGATACGTCAGGCAGTATAAACTGAATGGGACAAAGAGTACGTTCACGTATGTCATAATGCGAAAAATGTATTTTTACGTGACGAGTAATACGATAACGTATGTTACGATTCGAGCCCAGCTTATACTGCCTGACGTATCACGTAATTTTCTTTCATATCGTTTTCGGTCAGTGAATGGAGTTACGATTCGAGCCCTGTACTAAGGGCCGTCTTCTCGACTGCCTGCTAAAAGTTGACGTCCGGTCTGCTTTATCGATTTTTTTCGAATGCCTGTTATAAGCATGTGAGTGACAAATTTGACGGACAGTCAAAACAGCGGTTGGGCAGTAATGAAAATTTACATCACTTCTGTGAGTGACCAACTGATAAAAAGTTGTAAGATATTAACACAAATCGGCGGTAAAAGCTCAGGTTAAATACAAGTGTCACACTCTAGTATGAAAAAAATACATATTTTTTGTGAGGAGAGATGCCCAGCCGGCAATAAATCCGAAAATGCATCAGAAAAAGGGCAAAGTGTATGAATTGCGGATTTTTGTCCTGAAAATTGTAGTGGTTTCCTGTTCGCTGCCGGATAGGGAAAATTGTGCGAGACCGCACAGTCGGCAAAGTTTACGTTTCTCAGCTGGCTGGGTTCGTATGGTGACTGCATTACCGACGTTGAGATGTCCAAGCTTGTTTTGCATCATGATTCAATAATACAAGGTGTTATCGGTTAGCAACTTCTCGCTCTAATTCCGCCATATTGACTGCCTTAGGTGAAACAGTGTTACTTCTTTAACAATTCTTTGCCTAATAATATAGTTGAAAGTTTTGTTTTCTTAAAAAGGTATTTGGTATTTTATCTTATTTTATTTCATTTGATTACGAATATACTATAAAAAAGCAAATTTTGTTTAGGAGAAAATGTGAAATTTTATATTTTTCCCCCATATGGGGATTAATTTCTTCCCGTTTTTCTTCTCATCCTACTGAGCTAAGGCAGTGTCAAATCGAACTGTCACAACTGATATTACCTTGTATCATTGCATTATGGTTTTGCATGTTCTCTGTTATCACTACGTTCCCTGAGTAAACAAGTAAGAAAGCAAAGCAAAAGACCTTGGTGTCCGCGGTAGCTGAGTGGTCGAAACTGTGTACTACAACTCAACAGGTCCCAGTTTCGATCCCACTCCAAGAAATTCTTAAAAAACAGCTTTATATATTGTTTCTTTCATTTATTTATCTTTTTTAATTTATTTCATTTTCGATTTTTATTTTTTTCCTTTTCGTTTTTTATTTTTTGCCTTTTCGTTTTTTATCTTTTTCCTTTTCGTTTTTTATTTTTTTTTCCTTTTCGTTTTTTATTTTTTTTCCTTTTCGTTTTTTTTTTTTTTT